TTTGTAAACAGCGCTTATTTGTAAACAAACCAAAAAAAAACACCGTCTTTAGAGAGGTATTTTAGATAACAATCGATATTTAGAAATGTTTTGACACTCTGGAAATACTACCACCGAGCACGTCATTATTGTAACTTGCAACTGCGTTAATACGCCTGGCGGTGACCGCCTCATACTCTTTCAGATAATTAGCAATAAAATAAAGAAACCTGTTATTTTTAAGTTGGCAATATCTGCCGGCGGTTCTCAAAATGTTGCGATTATTTTTTTAAATTTTCAAAGTTAAATAACTCAGTTATTTTCAATTTATTTTAAAAATGGTAAAGAGAAAATATGTTTATTTTGACCAGATCTACCACCTCTTAAAATATCTGCACTCATTTCTGGGACACCCTGTATAGCTGCTATAGTCACAGAACATACTAAAGAAGAACGCTAACTCCTGTGTATTTTTTGTTTCAAATTTATAGTAGCGCCATCTAGTGTGCTAAGAATGAACTAAATCTGGCGGAAAATTTGAATACATATACCATATTTTATTATTTATATGTAAGTTGTTTGAAATGTAGATACAAAACAATCAGAAACTATCAGATTTTCAGAAATCAGTATAAAAACATACATCTGATAGTCGCTGACTTGTCGTAACTACTCTAGGAACAAAGAAAATAATGAAAAAAGGATAGGTAGTATTATAAAAAGGAGTTAAAATATTGTAGTGTCAAATGGTGAACTATTAGCTAATTCGTCTAATGTTGATTCCGAAAATTTTCAGAGAAACCCAGTAAACTAACTCAATCCGAAGACAATTCGTTTAGTGAATGAAACTGAGACGGTACGGCAACGGATATGTGAGAATAGAACTTAAGCTTATTACATCTGATATACATAGATTATTGTATTTTGTTTAAAAATCAATTAATCACATTATAAAGCACTATTTATTCTCTTCATGAGTGAACGGCAACATAATTTATCGATTTGCATTTTTGAACTGTGATTCATTCACATACTAACCGTTTCGTACGAATATTGCAAAATACGACCTTTGTGTTTGGATTTGTTTGTTTCTGACTGACCTATAAAAACTGTTTGAAGTGATATTTAAAAACTAAGCTTGAAAGCTAGAAAATGAGCGAACACTCCACTAACTGGACCAGAATCGTTCTGCTTTCCAAGCGGAACTGAAGAATCTGAAAGATTCCATCCGTAACCTGGAATGGGAATCCTGCAACGGTCTGAGACACTCGAAGAAGTTTCTAGGGACTTTCGACCAAGAAAACTCAAAGACATCTTGATTTAAGTAAAAACAATCTTCGGATTGTCACGGGGTTTTGTCAGGACATTGTCTTCTCAATGAACACCTCAGTAGATTGAAGCTAAGGAAAAACGGCGAATTCAGATTCTGTGGCGAAAATGGGGAAACACCAGAACACCTCATCACTGAATGCGCCGAGACGACAACCATTCGTGCCATAAACTTTGGTACAACTGATATTGGAGATGGAGAGTTACCCTTTACAAAACCGTCCTAGATACTGGCTTTTGTCAAAGTCAAACTGTATGATGAGTTATAACTCAAGAAAGTTCCTCACATTAGTTTGTAGGTCGCAGTGATTAACCTCCCTCCCACTTATTCTACAGTCTACTGAAAAGTAAAAAGTAAACACAGTGCAGATTCCAGTAGTAAACATAGTATTTAAAATAAATCATCGCTCGCATATGCCCATTGTGTCGGTTTGGTGTTTTTTTTTGAGTCTACAAAAAGATACAAGAGGTCCAATGTGCTGCAGTACATTTGGATAGCCCTTCTTAACCAAACTAACCATAGGCATTACGATTCTTTTTAGTGAATCGAATCACACGGTTTAATTTCTCATATTGAATAGACTTCTACGATTCGTTCATTTGAACGAACCAACAGTGTTCATTTGAACGAACCATGACAACTAGTTAAGGGACCAGAAAAAGAAATATACAGTTCTTTCATTTGTTTTTCAACACTTTATGACACTGGCGTAATTGGATTGATTATTTCACCTATAATATTAAATTATCAATGAAATTTATATAATATACTATTTATTAAAGACTTCTTGATACCAATTTAATACTTAGAGCCATATTTTAATTCTGATTTAATAATCATAATAAATAGTATATAATACCGCATGATCGAAAAAATATGGCGTCCAGTGGGCTTGGAAATGAACAACGATGATATTCTCCATATAATTTTACATATAAGATTACAGCGACCTTCATTTTATAACCATCGCTAATGCCGTTTTTTTATCACATTGAGCAGAGGCCAATAATTTTTATTTGGAGTTGCACATAGACACGATTTCGTCTTTTAGTCCGACATTTAATAGTCGGTAATATTATTTTAACAAAAATATTAACGTGAAAATTAAATACCTTACAGATACTCCCGTACTAAGCACAGTATAAATAAGTTTTTTTCTTGTAAATAACTTTCTTATCGTTTGCATTTTATGCCCATGATGTTTGTTTAGGGCTTTTGTTCAAGTGTAAATATTGATGCCTGCATTTATGCCTGTATCACTGCCCGCGCCCCGCCGTAGAAACGAACGATCGCATTGTGATCCGATTCAATTTTCACGATTCTTTTTTACGGCTCATCGTTCAAATCTTATGGATCCTTGCTAGCCACGGTTCAATTGAACCAACCGTATTGTAAGCAATAAATCAATTCTCACGACTCTTTGAACGCATGATCGCATTGTGATCCAATTCAATTCTCACGATTCTTTTTTACGGCTCATCGTTCAAATGTTATGGATCCGTGCTGGCAACGATTCATTGTGGTCCGATTCAATTATCACGATTCTTTTTTACGGCTCATCGTTCAAATCTTATGGATCCGTGCTGGCCACGATTCAATTGAACCAACCGTATTGTAAGCAGTGAATGAATTCTCACGACTCTTTGAATGCACGATCGCATTGTGATCCGATTCAATTCTCACGATTCTTTTTTACGGCTCATCGTTCAAATCTTATGGATCCGTGCTGGCCACGATTCAATATTGATGCAACCGTATTGTATGCAATGAATCACTTTCGCGACGGCCGTGAAACGAACGATCGCATTGTGATCCGATTCAATACTCAGGATTCTTTTTTACGGCTCATCGTTCAAATCTATATGGATCCGTGCTGGCCACGATTCAATTGAACCAACCGTATTGTAAGCAATGAATCAATTCTCACGATTCTTTGAACGCTCATCGTTCAAATCTTATATGGATCCGTGCTGGCCACGATTCAATTGAACCAACCGTATTGTTCAAATGTTATGGATTCCGACTCTTTGCAACGATCATTGTGATCCGATTCAATTATCTCGATTCTTTTTACGGCTCATCGTTCAAATCTTATGGATCCGTGCTGGCCACGATTCAATTGAACCAACCGTATTGTAAGCAATGAATCAATTCTCACGACTCTTTGAACGCACGATCGCATTGTGATCCGATTCAATTCTTACGATTCTTTTTTACGGCTCATCGTTCAAATCTTATGGATCCGTGCTGGCCACGATTCAATTGAACCAACCGTATTGTAAGCAATGAATCAATTCTCACGACTCTTTGAACGCACGATCGCATTGTGATCCGATTCAATTCTTACGATTTTTTTTACGGCTCATCGTTCAAATCTTATATGGATCCGTGCTGGCCACGATTCAATTGAACCAACCGTATTGTAAGCAATGAATCAATTCTCACGACTCTTTGAACGCACGATCGCATTGTGATCCGATTCAATACTTACGATTCTTTTTTACGGCTCATCGTTCAAATCTTATATGGATCCGTGCTGGCCACGATTCAATTGAACCAACCGTCTTGTAAGCAATGAATCAATTCTCACGATTCTTTTTTACGGCTCATCGTTCAAATCTTATATGGATCCGTGCTGGCCACGATTCAATTGAACCAACCGTATTGTAAGCAATGAATGGATTCTCACGACTCTTTGAACGCACGATCGCATTGTGATCCGATTCAATTCTCACTTTTACGGCTCATCGTTCAAATCTTATGGATCCGTGCTGGCCACGATTCAATTGAACCAACCGTATTGTAAGCAATGAATCAATTCTCACGACTCTTTGAACGCACGATCGCATTGTGATCCGATTCAATTCTCACGATTCTTTTTTACGGCTCATCGTTCAAATCTTATGGATCCGTGCTGGCCACGATTCAATTGAACCAACCATATTGTAAGCAATGAATCAATTATCACGACTCTTTGAACGCACGATCGCATTGTGATCCGATTCAATTCTTACGATTTTTTTTACGGCTCATCGTTCAAATCTTATATGGATCCGTGCTGGCCACGATTCAATTGAACCAACCGTATTGTAAGCAATGAATCAATTCTCACGACTCTTTGAACGCACGATCGCATTGTGATCGATTCAATTCTCACGATTATTTTTTACGGCTCATCGTTCAAATCTTATATGGATCCGTGCTGGCCACGATTCAATTGAACCAACCGTATTGTAAGCAATGAATCAATTCTCACGACTCTTTGAAGGCACGATCGCATGATCCGATTCAATTCTCACGATTCTTTTTTACGGCCCATCGTTCAAATCTTATATGGATCCGTGCTGGCCACGATTCAATTGAACCAACCGTATTGTAAGCAATGAATCAACTCTCACGACTCTTTGAACGCACGATCGCATTGTGATCCGATTCAATTCTCATGATTCTTCTTTACGGCTCATCGTTCATATGTTCTGGATCCGTGCTGGCCACGATTCAAATGAACGAACGGGATTGCAAGCAATGAATCGAATCTCACAATTCATTTTCAATACTCGTTCAAATGAACGCTCGTTCAATCTTTGCCCAACTCTACACCAGACAGACCGTTTGGGTCACAATTCAATATTGAAATTCCGTGACGTTTTTTTGTTAATTTATTATTTATGTAAGCTTTTTTTTGTTTCAGCTGTTTCGAAACGGAAATTTTGGAATCCGAAAAAATGGTTTCGGAAAAAACAAAAGACGAGCGACGATAACGTGACGCAGGTGCAGCATCAGGAACACAAAGATGTGGACGGAGGCCGTAGCAGGTCTACGGGCGAACTGTCCACGGATGAGGAGCCCTCGCGAAGGTAAAAAAAAATATTAAGTAAAGTTACCGTTTTCTTTTTGCTGCCAGTGCTAATCTGGATGGAGTCCACTAGGGTTTCCAGAACCGGAGCTGTTTTTCGGAACCGGGAATTTCGGTACCGCGCCTCTTAGGAACTGGGATTTCCCGGTTTTTTCGATACTATCGGTTGACTAATTTTTTTTCAATGGTGGTGCAGTTCATCAATCAGAAAGCAAGGGATGGTTTTTCAAAGTAAAGGTTAATTCTCACTTGTACAATCGCTTATTTCTGGGGCTTACTCAACCGGGTCTCACAATGCAAATTCACCTCAAATATCCATTTAGTTGGTCAGGCAAGCACTCTCTCATTGTACATGAAAATAACAAAACAAACATTTACTGATCTGGATAAAATTGATAATTAAATAGTAAGACTTACCCGGGGGTATTCCGCCCCCTAACCACTGACATCACTGACATTCTATTCAATATATCACATTTCATATCTTCCATCTAATTCAAATATTATTCGGATCTATTGGTTAATAATATTTAACAACTAACTAGTGTCACCTGAAATAGTATAGGGGCTTCCCCCGGACGCAATTCTGCCGCTAAACAGATTCGCATCCCAATCGAATAAGCTAATTGGGGTACCTCACTAGTCTCTCTACCCCAACGCCGCATCGTGTCAATCGAGAAGACAAGGGAGACCTCAAACTGTCAAAACCAACCTCGAAGGCAAGACGTCACAAGAGGTTTTCTTCTGGTCAAACGACCCGTTGCCTTACAGTACTTGCAAAGTTTATAGTCAAAAGACTCTCAACCCCCAAATATCAGCTCTATGACAAAACACAACACAACAGCCTGCCGGCCTAACAACTACTGACCTGCCGCAGGCTAGCTAAGCCTCCTCTTACATCACAATTTTACCTGATCACAAATATTTACATCGCTTGCCAATGTTGCCAATGAATCATACTATTTTCTCTAGTCGACTTTAAAATACAGTGTTTTAGCATTACTAGATAAATAAATAGAGAGTTTCCGAAGGAATGCATATTGTTTATTAGAATAGTGAATAAATAAAAGCATTATTATGACGAACTTATTTTCCAAGTTTTACACACTATACCTTCCGTTCCCATTCCATATTCGTTCCGTATTTTTATTGTATTGACGCTATACGTGAGCTTTCGCTCCATATCAGTTTCATACTTTTTATTGTACAATTTTAAAAAATTTATATCATTAAGTTTTATTTTAAAAATTTGGATCTTTGGAAACAGGTAATAGATTTGATTAAGAGGTGAAGAATAAATAAGTATTAGCAAAATGTTAATAGAGCTGTTAGAAATGTAAGAACTTGACAACGCTGTTTCCGACACGCTTCAGTCCGTCCGCCAAAAAAATGTATGGAAGGAAAGGATATGGAACGGAAGGATATGGAACGGAAGGGAAACGGAACGGATAATGTGCATTGTTCTATTCATTTACATGAGGTAATATTTTATGTAAACTGAAAGGAAACGGTAGGGAGCTGATACGGAAGGTATAGTGAGAATCAACCTTAAAATGGATAAAAAGTTGAGATTTTTAATGAAAATAATATCAAATTATTAATTAATCAGTCATGAAAAAAATAACATGAACACAACGGCGTTTTCAGATGGAGTGGAGCGTCCGCGACTTCGAGCAAGTACCATGAGTTTAGCAAAATAAAACACTAAATCACCACAATACACCAAAACACTTTTACTTTTACACTGGACGCGCGTTTCGCTAACCATGTTAGCATCATAAGCAGATGATTATAAACTAAAATACAATCTACAATTGGAGCGTTTATACACTCGCAGTGGGCACAGAGTGGGCGTGGCAAGATCTAGCCAACCGAGTCAGAACCCACCGAGCGTAACAGTTAGATTTCCGCCACTAGAGTAGTAGGAACAAAGAACTTGAAGGAATTGGACCGTTGTCTCTCTGTTCATACTATCTTTACATTTATTAATTCTGATGCTTTCATATGCATCTAATTGCCTGTAATTTGAGACTTGTTTAAGTAATTTTAAGTTATCAAGATCTATACAATGTCCTTTATCAACAATATGTTCGGCAACGCAAGATTTATCAGGTCTACCATATCTTATCTGAGCTAAATGTTCTTTAATTCTAGTTAATATTGATTTTCTAGTTTGCCCAACATATTTCTGATTACAATCTTTACAAGAAATTTCATAAATACCCGACCTTTCCAGTAGAGGTGTTTTATCCTTTGGATTACCTAATAATTGTTGTAATTTATTATTAGCACTATACACAAGTTTATAATTGGCATTCTTAAAAATTCCTTTTAGATCACGGGATAACTGTCTATCAAACGGTATTGAAAAATATTTTGACGTATCTTTCTCCACTTGAAAAGTCGAATTTTCAGAAATCATTAACCTATACCTACGTTTTCTAATTATTTTATCAACTAGTGAAGGAGAATATCCATTACACTCAGCTACATTCCTAATGTAATTTCTTTCTATTTCATATCTTTCGTTGGAAAGTGGAAAACTAAGTAATCTATGAATTAAGAAATTTAAACTAGCCATTTTATGTTCAATACTATGATATGATTCATTAGGAATGTTCTAATTTATCTGCGTGTAGAGGTATTTTTCTATGGATATCAAATTCCAGGCAATTATTAGTATTTCTAATAACTAATACATCTAGAAATGGTAATCTGTCGTTGTTCTCAATTTCATGTGTAAATTTAATGGAAGGAAAACGATTATTTAACTTAGAAATAAAATTATCATGTGTGTCAAAAACAGCAAAAATATCATCCACATACCTAAACCATACTCTTGGAAAATACTCAAACTGATTCTTAGCCTCCACTTCAAACCAGCTTATGAATAAATTAGCCAAAAATGGAGACAATGGATTACCCATTGCTGTACCTTCCCGCTGTTCAAAAAAGTTGTTATTAAATTGGAAACCATTTTATTTAATATATAATGATGTAAGCTCAATATATTCAATCACAGTTTTGTTGTCGAGACCATTTGCGTTCAGTAATTCCTTCAAGTAGCCTAAAGTATGTGGAATTGTAACACTTGGGAACAACGAAGATACATCAAAGGAGACCAAAATTTCACCTTCATGCAATGTTATATTTTTAATTTTGTTAATGAATTCAATATATTATTTTTAACTGAGAAAGAATGTTCATGATTAGGTAAATTTTCGAACTCCGTTGATAACAATTTTGCCAAATTATAAGTCGGAGAACCTACAGCCGAATCAACAACATAAACCAATGTAACTGAATTTGAGACAAAAGCCCTAAAATATTGAATTATTAATGCAAATATCTATTGAAACATAACATAATAAATATTATAGGAACTTAAAAACAGAAATGAAGCAAGAACAATAAGAAATAACATCATTACTTATTTAGAAGAGTTTTGATTTAACCGCTAGAAAGTATCAAAGGACTTTTCAAAGGAAAACCAAAAAATAATTTTTTAATTATTGTTACCGAGGCCCGGTTCGGTGATGGCCAAAAAGTTCTAAATCCTAATTGGTAGTATTGATTAGAGTTTCCAGAACTGTACTAAAATATTTTCGTTCAACGATTGTGGAGTTCGTCAATTAGCAAGAAAGGGGTGGTTCTCAAAAGTAAAACCGATAAAAAATTGAGTTTTAAATGAAAATAATATCAAATTATTAAGTCATGAGAAAGTAAACATGAACACAAGCGAGCAAAAAAACAGAAAACACATAGGTAGCTTAAAAAATACACCAAACAACATAAATCAACCTCGAAACCAACTTAACTAAATTAGAAAAAAAACCTTAACATTTTCAATTAAAGATGCAAATGCCTATAAAACATAAGACAAAAAAATATAACTAATATATTTAGCAATATTATACTAAATAATAAAATAACATATTTAAAGTTCAATAATTGCTAATAAACAATATAGAAACTTCAAAATAATTTCAGAAGTTATGAACAGTAAGAGATAGCATCACTGCTTCTTATTTAGAAGAGTTTGATTTCGACCGCTAAAAAGTATCAAAAGTCCTTCTCACGTAACAAAAAATATGTTTTTAATTATTATTACCGAGTCCCGAAAGTACCGAAAGAACCGAGAATTAATAATTTCGTGTCCCGGTTCTTTTATCTTTGATGTCTCAAAATAAGCGGTAATTCCCGGTACAATTCCTGCTACCGTATTTCCCCGGTTCTGAACCCCAGAGTCCACTAATATAAAAAAAATAATTGATCTTTCATCTACAAAAACTAGTGATTTGATGATTTTTGTCCTGTCTTATAATTATCAAAAAATACATAGTTGACCAACAAAATTTATTATTTTCAGTCACGATGTCAGAAACTCCTCAAGCATGCACCCAGGTCTTAGCGTTTCCCACGACAGTGTTTTTCACCCATTAAATTCTGGCTCTTCTGATTTGGAGCTAGATGGCGCTCAAAGTTCCTCCTCACTGTCGATATCTCAACCGCTTGGTGATATTAAATTACAGGTGAGTGATGTGATTTGCGAGTTTAATAGAAAGTAGAAATAATATTTCATTTTTTTTTCATTTTTATTCTGTAAATTGCACGGTTAAATGGCACAATGTTACCAACATACCAACTCAGTGTTTTTCTCCCTAAATTTAGGGAGAAAAAATCTGTACAGTTTTTTTAGGGAGTAAAATTTTTTACTCCCAGTTTACTCCCTTTAAGCCAACTGGACAGCGGTTTATTTTTTCTATCAAACGATATTTTAATATTAACTTAATTTTACTTATTTAATTTAATAGCAAAATAAATCGTCAAACTATACTGATATTCTTTGATATCGGTACGTACTGATATCAATTACCGAACAGCTGTATTACTATTAAATTGGAACTTCAAAGAACTACGACAAATGTCACAAATGGCAACCATCTGGGTACATAAAAATATTTTGTAGCTACGAGATACACGATTTTATATTTGAACTCTATATACGCACTTACTTACTGTGGTGCATGTGAAATAAAGAAAATAAAAGAATTGGCATAATTAGAAGAGAAAGTTTACTTACTCTAATAATCGGTGAAGTAATTAATTGCTTTAATAATACTTATTTAAATGTGTACTAGCATAATAACTATACAGGGTGATTATGTAATGTGGAATAAATTCAGTAAATCAAAGATTTTTTTTGTTCGGATATAGATCCAAGTTCGAACACACCTATTACTATTTTAAATTAAGCTCCATGCTCGTTATGCGCTGATGCGGTTTGTCAATGCGTCGATTTTATGCGCCAATGCGTCGATGCAATGGATTGTATGGCGATTCGGCGGTAAGTCGGTTTTTGGGTGAACCATCAAAAGAAATATCACGAACACAATGCACGAAATTCCAAATAAACTTACGAATCGCATCGACGAACGGCATTATACTCACTATGCGTGCATGGACGTATCAAATTGATGCATCAGCGCATAGTGAGGATGGGGTTTAACACAGAAGAATATACAGTAAGCCCAAATTTTGGTATATCGACGTTCTCGACATTTTTTTTTTCACTGGCAGATATTACTCGTTTTTATGTCTATTCTTAAAGGGTCAAGTCCGAGGGGTGTCTCACTATTGGAATTACCTGTAGACTGGGCTGGTTTGCTAGCCGCTGGTTGCAGCTTGCTGCTAATAGCTGCTACCAATCTGTTTCAATAGCCGCTGTTTTGGGTTTACACACATTTTGAATATTAGCAATATTTGCCAGTTTGCCATGTCTGTTCGAAGGGAATTTTATTATTTACCAGCAGCTGCTTGTCATCAATTCGGGTCACACAAGGCTATTGAAGCGCTGCTAATAGTGAACCGAGGGTCACGTGATGCGCTGGCGGCTGGAAAGTCGAACATGGACTACTCAGCTAGCTCGGGCTGGTTGCTGGTAATTTTATTCGTCGGCTAGTAAAAACAGCGGGGTTGGGATTCACACTACGCTATTATCAGCCTAACAGCATGCAACTACCGGCTAATAAACCAGCCTAGTGTGACCGCCGCTTTAAGTCTTACGGCAGTCGCTTATAATAATTACATGGCAGTCATAGGCAGTTGGCAGTAAAATGATATTTAGTCCTTGGCAGTAAAATGATATTTTGGCAGTACATGTACATGCGTACATTACATTTTCTGTAATGAAATGTATTAGTATGTAGAATGTATTAGTGCATTACAGAAAATACCGTTTACCTGCGAATTAAAACGACAGGCACTGTTGCCTGATATTTCAAAATTAAAACTGCATTTGTCTGATATAAATTAACTACACTCACCGGCACGAAAAACGGGCATCTTAAAATTTTGATGTATTTTAAAGTTTAATATACTGGGTGTCCCAGAAATAAGTATAATTATTCTTGCTTTATATTTAAGGGGTGGTAGATCTCGATAAAAGAAATATATTTTCTCTTTATCGTTTTTCAAATAAGTCCAAAATAACGGAGATATTTTACTTTTAAAATTTCAAAAAAAAATATTTTTTGCTAAAATTTTGAGAACCACTGGATCTTTCCTGGATTTTCTTTCTTGTAAATTTAATCTAGTACCTATGTTGCCATATTATCAAGAAATTATGTTTTTTAACTAAAAACTAAAAAAAATCCAAAAATTTTCAAAAAATTCCGAATTTTCAAAATTTTTTCACGAAAAAACCTCATGGGCGTCTTTCTGGGGTTGAACTATACCCTCCCAGTTAAAATACTTGCACTTATTTCTGGGACATCCTGTATTTTGTTCTAGTGGGCCGATTTTGATAAAAAAAATTTGGTAATTGATTTTGCAATTTGTAGCTAGATTATTTGACGTTTTAATATCTCTTTCTAAATTAAAAATGAAAGTTTCCATTAGTCAATTATACGAGGGAAAACAAAATGTTGATATTTTGGTGAAAGTTTGGAACACCCTGTGGAACAAAGCAAAGAAGATATATATTGAGATATTCGCTTTTGAATAAGACAATAATGATTTACAGCAATTTTAGCATTGATTTTAGATCCTCATCAGCACACTTATAAAATAGTGTTTCTTGTTTGTTTTATGTTACTATCGTTGAAAAGTCATATTATTATTGTTTATTGACGTTTACTCTAATAGAGAGGGTTTTAAGTTCTGAAGTATCGGCTATTGCTGCTTTAATTGATCATGGTAGAGATCAACTTTTGAACTTAAAACCATATCTGCTAGAGTAACTGCCGAACAGACAATAATTATATGATTTTTCAGAGATAGTGACATTACATAAAATATAAATACTATTTTATAGGTCTGTTGACTAGGACCAAAAGCAAAGTTATGGTTTTAATGTAAAAAATACGAAAAAATGTTAGTGTCCTCTTCAAAAACGAATATCTAAAAAAAATAAAGCTATTGAGATGAACCAATAAACAAACTATCGAAAAAAGGTACACCTAGACGATAAAATTATTTTTAAATTTCTTGCTTTATTAACGTACTCCACAGGGTGCTTCAAACTTTCACCAAAATATCAATAATTTGTTTTCCCTCATATAATTGACAGATGGCAACTTTCTAATTAAACTAAAAAGTAGTGATGCGATAACTCGAGCGACAATTCGCTCGAGTACTCGATTATTGAAATAACCGACATCGCTCGATTATGAACGAGCGATGCAAGTGACGAGTATCAAGCGACGAACGCAAGCGATCCTATAGAATGAAATAAATTAAAATCCGATATTAATGTGATATACTCGATAAAAAGCCGAGCGAATTTTCTACATACAATGCAGGTAGCAAATTTATACGACCCCGTATATACCGGGTGCGTTTCAAAAGTGGCTCAACCCTATAAGTTTTTTATTTTTTTAGATAAAAAAATGAGATTTGGTATGTTAGTATATGACACAAATTAGGATTGATTGTCGTATTCAATTGTTCTGTCACTTCCTGTTTCACCGGAAATGACTACAATTTTTGATTTTTAAATGGCACCCTCGGTATTTTTTTACTTTATTCGATAGAAAATGACATTCTAAATAGAATGACGTATCATATGTCAACTTTTGACATATTCGCTCACAAATTGTATTTTAAATCTCAATCTAGAGTGCCATGTCTGTGTTAAAAACACTAATTTTTAATCAAGGATCCTTGGAAAAATAGATTTGATCGTCTAATGTTTTTAGTGTCTTGTCCTGGCCGGTTAAAAGATGCCCAAATCGTATTTTTGATTATCTCTCAATTTTTTTCAAATGGAACGAGGGTGGCTCATTAGCATATTTCGAAAAAGAATTTTTTTACGAATAATTTGATACCACATACTTGGTACTTCGAGTCAAATTGTCGTTATGAAACGCATGTTACAATTTCAAATAAACCATATGAAAAAATGTCAAAAGTTGACATGTGATATGTCATTCTATTGAGAGTGTCATTTTCTACCGAATAAAGTACAAAAATACCGAGGGTGCCATTTAAAAATCATAAGTTGTAGTCATTTCTGGTGAAACCGGAAGTCCGGTGAAGACCGAAAACAATTGAATATGTCAATCAATCCTAATTTATGTCATATACTAACATACCAAATCTCGTTGTTTCATCTAAAAAAATAAAAAAGTTATAGGGGTGAGCCACTTCTGAGACGCACCCGGTATATTTATCCGTTGCGTATCTGAGGGACAAAATTTTACGACCTACATCGACAATGCTTCGAAATAAACTAAATCAAGCGAATCGCTCGCTGCTTACTACTTGCCGTTCATTACCGAAAGAATATGTGCCCTGCGCACGCAACTTACTGCTTGGCGCTTGGCGTTAACGAGTACTTACAACATGCGACGGGTGAAAACCGTATTTTTAAATACGAGTGATATTGCAATCGCTCGATTATTGAAATTAATCGGCTTTTCCCATCACTACTAAAAAGTCTAATAATTTAGCTACAATTGCTACAAATGCAAATTTTAAGGTGCCCGTTTTTCGTGCCTGTGAGTGTATATTAATTTAAACAATAAATTTATGACTATGAAGTGTCACGATAGTGGACGACATAAAGAACAGTCAACTCATATGTTGCGGGCATGTCCAAAGAATGGCAGAAATAAGAATCCCAAAGCAAATTATAAACTGGAAACCTGCAGGAAGAAGAAAACCGGGTAGACCGAGAAGAAGTTGGCAGGAAGGGATTGACACGTTTATGGAGGAAAGATCTCTCGGAGACAGTGCATGGAGAGACAGACAGGCATGGAGAGATGGCATCGGAAGACATAGAACGTTTTAAACCGATTAATTTTTTAAATTAATAATTAATTTGAATAATAAAAAATATAACAAACGCGGTGGTTGAAAGAATGAACAAAAGCAAAAAAAAAATTTACACGTCTCGCACCCTCGGACAAGGGTGGCGGTACTGAAGTGCGGTTGCCACTTCTTTTCATATACATACCATTACTTGAAATAAAATTAAATTTTACATAAATGACTAAGAGACACAATAATTGTCACTGTCATGGGTCCTCTC